GAAAGTGAATAAGCGCTATCAAGGCATATTGATTTTATACGTGACTCATCGAGCAGCGTGAAGTACAGGGCATTGCAGAAATTTTGAAACAAGTTTCAAAAGTTATGCTTAGTCATCCTAGTCATCCTCATTTGAAAGACTTATTAACGGTCACTGGAAATACCGGCTCTAAAGCAAGGCGTCTTGTGATTTGTGGGGAGGGTACCTGAAAGGAAAGGCGTAATCATTAGGACTCTTCGATCTGAACCTTTCGTCAACGTGCTTACTTCAACCTTGATGATTCTTTGAGCCAGAAGAATTCCTCCATTCTATGGGTTATTGTCATGTTTTTTTACTCCCATTTTTAGGATAGCAATTAGGGATATGTGGTACAGAGCTATTTTCTGTCCTATGTCGACCTCTCCAGCGAGGAAGAAAGTTCATAACCATATGAAAAGTATGAAGTCCGGATGCTAGAGAAACTCCATGGATCTTTGTAATTTTGGTGCTCAATATATATGAATGGCAATCAGCGGTTCTCAAACTGGGGGGTCGCGACCCCCTGAACATATCAAGTGAAATGGGAATTAAAGGAAGTTTCAGAACCACTGTTCTAGATGATCTGGCAGAGAAGGTCACTAGGACTTCATCCTCTCTGCTAGTAAAAAATCTGCTTAAAGATTGACTCTTTGGAGGCTAGAAAATTCATCACAGCATTTTTCATCACAGCATTCCTTTGGAATCACCCAGGAAAAAAATTCATCGAAGCTTTATTTAATCTGCGAATGAGATGAAAATGTGCCAGTCACCATAAAAGACACCAGTCTTCTCATAAGGAAAGTAAAAAAGGTGTATTGCAACTGGAAGTGCCTCGTGCTTAGAACTTTTCGATCACCCCCCCGTATATTTTAAATAATTGTCCCGCATTTTCTTTAAAGATGCATGCAGATCAGGGAGGCAGCAGGAAAAAGGTGATGAGAGAAAAGGCAAAGCCAGCTGATAAAAGGGTTAAGAATGCTCCAAATATAGACTCCACATCGGATGAAGAGGAAGACGAAGAATCAAGAAAAAGAGAGGAAGATAGAAAAAGACGACAAGATGAGGAGAGGAGAAAGAGGGACGAAGAAAGAAAAAGAAAAGAAAAAGAGCGACGAGAAAGAAATAAACGATGCTTCCAGCAACGATTGCTTCGAACCCTCTCAGGGATGGAAGATGTAACGCAGAATATCGACAAATTGGCGAGTACTCTCAAAACCACGCCTGATGGGATCAAGAAGGTCATCAACGAGGATGAGAGGTTTCTGCTTTCAGAGAACATGGTATCGCTGAATATTCATTTATCGATATGCCAGGACTACTTGACTCTCGGAGGCTGCGATAATGAGCAGTGTCGATCTTTGCACATTTGCGCGAAATACCTTGCGGGACTATGCACAGATGCCAGGTGTGAAGATGGACATAATATCAAGACAGAACACAACCGTCGCCTCCTCTGTCAATTCAACTTGGAGAACATCGACTGTCGGATGATGAAGTTTCTCGAGCCAGATTCTATAACTCCTGATCCATGCACGGAATACAACATCTCACAATGCTTCCAGGATCAATGTCTCAAGATGCATCTATGTACGGACTTTATTTCGGAAGCTTGCAAGGCATGCGAGCTCAATCATGATGTCCTCGAACCACAATGCGAAAAATTACTGAGGCAGGCCAACGTTAAATTGAATCGAACGAGGAAGGAATTGAGATTATATCTGAATAAGAAATGGGTTGTCAACATGAAAGAGATTTCCATGCGGAAGAGGGAACGGAATGAAGTAATAAAGATTCACCAGCCCTTGATTTTTCCAGTCCCATCCGTCAGGAATCTGGGTTACCCTGTTGTGAGTTTCCCAATTTCATTATATTTACTGTCATGAAAAACTTGAGGGGACTATTCCCGTAGAACCTTACCCAAACTTTACGATCGTTCCATCGCTATAGGGTAATTGAATGGCCATCTAAACAATTCTTCCCTTTAAGAGAAAATCCTATAGGATCCTATGAGAACCCTCAAATTTTTTAGGATATTATAAGAAATTTATGGGATTACTGTTAGAATCCTATCATATTTTTACGCTTCAAAAATCGAATAGTCCTATAATAATGGATTCGCAATTAAATAGGGGTTGACACTTTCGCTGCCAGGAATTCAAATGAATGAACATTTCAACGTACCTTCAGTAATGTTATAGGGTATGGTATATTGATTGCAACCCTTGTAGGTTGTGAGGCATTTGAATGACATATCTTCAAGAAATAAGTGACTATTAGGAGGACGACGTGAAAACGGCTATGGCCGCATGTGGCAGCGAATGTGTTATTACCATTCTTTTAAAGATGCAGAAAACGCTGGACCAGGCCAGAATTGAGAACAAAACCATTCCAGGGTGATACTTGATATTCAGATATTCATTGCCTGACTTGTAAAACGCATAGTGAGTTTATAGCTCCATCAATCTGATTTAACCTGCCTCTCACAGTTTATGAGGCCAAATACTATTTAAGACCCGTCCTTTCTTTTGCTATCATGTGCATTTCTTCTCCTATATGCGACCACATTGTTTTCTGTTCTTCGAATGTTCTTAGCAATTTCTTCGCAAAGATTTTGAAAGGATTAGATTTGCCTCTCCTTTCGAATGAGTATAATTATCGTCAAAAAAACTACCTGCTAAAGCTGATGTTAGAGTTTTTTTTCGCTCCATTAGAGATAAGCCATTTTCTACGGAAAATGGGCAGTCGATCAGGAAAGAAATTCTCAACTGCGAAGCATTTCATGGATCCGTAAAAATTTGAAACACTAAAATGACATAAAATAAAGACGCGGAAACAGTTTTAGCTTCAAATATAGAAACCCAACAATGATCGAATGCGAAGTAGATTGAGGAGAAAAAAGTAAAATATTTTCATCAATGGCGCTGAACTCTTCCACCATTCTTAAAGTGTTCGGTTAGTTTTTCTTGCATGGGTTCATCTTGTCACCAATATCTTCTCACTCCGTGACATTTTTTCATCGACCTTTGAAACCGTAATTTATTTATTTATTGGCTTGCTGCTGCGAGCTAAATACGAACTGATGAATGTAATCAAAATGATATAACTAAACGATATAACTCACTCCTGGTGAGGGGAGTTTGCTCAGCGGTTTCAATTTCACCTCTTATGCCGTCAAACTTCAAAAAGTCTTTGCTAACCTTCTTTCCATTATGTTTTGGTTACTCATCTCGTCTAACTCCAAAAATAATAAAGTCCTCCAAAAGGGGCATTAAGCACTTCCTCAAGCGGGCCCTTACACACCGTTACCTTTTTCTACATGGGGCCTGAAAATTTTAATGTTTCAATTTCATGTGGAATTTTCAACAACTACCTCTTACAACTGATGTGATCCTTCAATATCACCTATGAACTCCAACAAACATTGATATCTCATCCATTCGTTTTTACCAACAGGGGCTGTCTCCCCAGAGTCAACAAGGCCATATGACGGCGAGCCCACTCCAACACTCGAATTGCGCCGCCAAAGTTCCACTATCTAACGTGCGTGGACACTTGCCAGGGAACTTTTCCCCGTCATATTTTCACTCCTCTGGACAAAACGTACAGTTTCATCCACTGATACCACAACAGCAGCCAGCGGAACAGCAGCATATGTATTTACAAGAACAACAGTCAGTGATATCACGTTTTACTAGGTTAGGCTCCACATTTTCGTAGAATCCATATGAACAGATGCCACAATCGAAAGGACTTAATGACTCTCCGGGAGATCCTTTCATCCCGTGTCAAGACTCTCTGAAAGAAGATCATCGCCGATTGATGGATCAAAACGTAGCTTCAGCAGGTAATTTTCTTTCAAACCCGGGGCTCCACGACCGCATTCAAGGAACAAATGCCGGAGGAACCTATATATGGAACACGGCCCATGGGTAAGTATAGGGAAAATCCACGAAACTTGAATTATTTTTCTGTCATATTATCAGAGCCAGCGTTTCTCTCAGCCCATAATGGCCAGCCCAGGGTGCGACCATTTTGCTTCGCCCCTCTCTAAAACAGCCTGTTTTCAAGGGTCATGTTCTAGTAGGAATAAATCCTCAGTGACACAAAGTGGGTAAGCGTGGCCCCCGAAATACGACATGCTATAATCGTACATGCTGCATCTTGAGTCGAATGGCTACGCTCTGAATCGAACGGATGCGCTCATTGACTCGTAAGTGGAATGTCTCCCATTCACTTCATAATCTATTGAATAATAGTAGAATCGCCAGCTTCAGTTACCATCGTGACTAACGTCTGCTGGATCTGTTCGCACATTCTGCCATCCCTTTTCGTTTCCGTAAGAGAAAAAAAAACATACGAGGAATCCAAATACCTTTTTTTCGAGAAGCTTGCACGCTGATACGTTCCAAGTCACTACGGACTTGCATAAACGAAGAGTCAAAGGTACTGTTCGAATCTCGTGTCAACCTATGGATTTGCAACGTTAAACCGAACGTGCGCTCTGGTCTACATCTTACGACATAATCAGTCCAAAATGGTGGGATATTATCTTATATTAACATATTCCTAAAAGTAATCTTACAATAAATTGTGCATGAATACATAGTTCTATGGAACAATTTTTCTGGAGAAACTCTACAACTGAAACACGATTCTTTCAACGAAATCTGAGCGCGCTCAGATTTCGCACTCGTCCTTTTCCTCACGATCATGGGGAATCCACGGTACCTTCGATAGAAGAGGGAAACTACAGCAAGATATTTAAATCACCTGAGAGGACGTCGAATAGGCAGTCGATACTTTTAACATTAGCGTTCGAGTCAAGTTGCAAATTCCCGAAGCGTTCGAGTTTCGTTGTTTCCCCCTACCCTTCATTGGATGATTATGCCCTTTGCATGGGAATGCATTTGTTAACGATGAAAGCCCTACTTCTAACAGGAACCTGGTGACGCAGAAGGGTGAAGAAGCTGATGCTCTGGTGCAATCCATGCAGGAAATGCAAGTAGGTCAATTATATCACGTCGTTTTCGTGTTGCATTTATACATGAGATTCTTCGTAAAATCACTCTCTGAAACTAATTAGGAACCAGAAAGGATCACGGTGGCAGACCCAAACGAGATAAAAAGAGCAAAGTTGACTTTGGCTCAGAGGATGAAGAAGAAAAGCAAGAGCCTCATGGGAAATATATACCAGCTACCGAAAAATCTGATAATACAAGACGAAAAGAATCGCTTGGCCAAATATGAAATTGGCGAGAGGAGGCCAGATGGAGAACCTGGAAAGGTACTCATGGTAGTCGGAGCCACAGGAGCAGGTATGTTCAGTGTGATGATTGTCTCGATTCTCGACTTGATTCGTGTTCATGAAAAGGGAATCCTGATATTTATAGGAAAGAGTACTCTTATCGATGGGATGGCAAACTATGCCTATGGAGTGAAGTATGAAGATGATTTCCGTTTCAAATTGATCGTGGATGAGGGAAAGAAGCCCCAAATCCACAAGCAGACCACGTGGATCACATCATACGTTCTGCACAAGCAGCGGGGATTCAGTTTGCCCAATACCTTAACTGTCATAGACACGCCCGGATTTGGAGATACTGATGACATAAAAGCGGATGAAGAATTAAAGAATTAGATCGGGGAGTTCTTTCTAAATGGTGGGGCGATCGGAGTAGATCAACTTGATGGAATCTGTTTCGTTTTGCAGGCCTCCCTGACCAGTCTCACTCCCACGCAAAAATACATATTCGACTCCATCTTGTCGGTATTTGCAAATGATGTCGAAGACAATATATATGTATTGACCACATTTTCGGACGGCCAGAAACCCCCAGTGTTGGAAGCCATTGCAAAAGCAGGCATCCCATATAAAAACCTATTCAAATTTAATAATTCAGCTTTCTTCTCAGTTCGCCATTCTGACGAGTTGGACGAATTTGGGAAGACCTATTGGAAAATGGGCGTTGAAACTTTCAAAGCATTCTTCCAAACACTCAAAAAAGGAAACTCCGTTAGTCTCACACTAACGGAAGAAGTTTTGAACCAGAGGCAACGCTTGGAGAGAGTAGTCCAAGGCATCCAACTCCAAATTACGTTAGGTGAGAGAATAAATATTTCACTGCCCGTTCCTCTTTCCAATCATAGGGATCGTGGTTTCATAACTTGATCTTACGACCTACATTAGGTTTGCAGACGCTGAAGCAGCTGAGGCAAGAACATGCAGCGTTGAGGCAGCACGAGGCTGAAATGGAAGCAAACAGGGACTTCACCTGCAAGGTCAAGGTCCAGAAACAATTAAAAGTAGAATTGGATATTGATGAGCGCGCGACAAACTGCCTGAGATGCGACTTCACTTGCCACTACCCTTGTACGACTCCGCAAGATGAGAAACATCTCTGCTCTGCCATGGGAGTCGATATGGAGACAGGAGAAGTGACGCACTGTCTCGTCTGTCCTGGCCAATGTCCTCCGGAGTTGCACGTCAACGATCCATATCGGTTTGAATTGTTTGANGGTACTCATGGTAGTCGGAGCCACAGGAGCAGGTATGTTCAGTGTGATGATTGTCTCGATTCTCGACTTGATTCGTGTTCATGAAAAGGGAATCCTGATATTTATAGGAAAGAGTACTCTTATCGATGGGATGGCAAACTATGCCTATGGAGTGAAGTACGAAGATGATTTCCGTTTCAAATTGATCGTGGATGAGGAAAAGAAGCCCCAAATCCACAAGCAGACCACGTGGATCACATCATACGTTCTGCACAAGCAGCGGGGATTCATTTTGCCCAATACCATAACTGTCATAGACACGCCCGGATTTGGAGATACTGATGACATAAAAGCGGATGAAGAATTAAAGAATCAGATCGGGGAGTTCTTTCTAAATGGTGGGGCGATCGGAGTAGATCAACTTGATGGAATCTGTTTCGTTTTGCAGGCCTCCCTGACCAGTCTCACTCCCACGCAAAAATACATATTCGACTCCATCTTGTCGGTATTTGCAAATGATGTCGAAGACAATATATATGTATTGACCACATTTTCGGACGGCCAGAAACCCCCAGTGTTGGAAGCCATTGCAAAAGCAGGCATCCCATATAAAAACCTATTCAAATTTAATAATTCAGCTCTCTTCTCAGTTCGCCATTCTGACGAGTTGGACGAATTTGGGAAGACCTATTGGAAAATGGGCGTTGAAACTTTCAAAGCATTCTTCCAAACACTCAAAAAAGGAAACTCCGTTAGTCTCACACTAACGGAAGAAGTTTTGAACCAGAGGCAACGCTTGGAGAGAGTAGTCCAAGGCATCCAACTCCAAATTACGTTAGGTGAGAGAATAAATATTTCACTGCCCGTTCCTCTTTCCAATCATAGGGATCGTGGTTTCATAACTTGATCTTACGACCTACATTAGGTTTGCAGACGCTGAAGCAGCTGAGGCAAGAACATGCAGCGTTGAGGCAGCACGAGGCTGAAATGGAAGCAAACAGGGACTTCACCTGCAAGGTCAAGGTCCAGAAACAATTAAAAGTAGAATTGGATATTGATGAGCGCGCGACAAACTGCCTGAGATGCGACTTCACTTGCCACTACCCTTGTACGACTCCGCAAGATGAGAAACATCTCTGCTCTGCCATGGGAGTCGATATGGAGACAGGAGAAGTGACGCACTGTCTCGTCTGTCCTGGCCAATGTCCTCCGGAGTTGCACGTCAACGATCCATATCGGTTTGAATTGTTTGAAGAAGAGGAGACGAAAACATCCGAAGAGATGAAGGCGAAGTACGAAGTAGCGGCTGGGAAAAAGTTAAATAAAGAAGGAATCGTCAAGAAACTCGTTAAGAACTTCAATCGTGAGAGAGCACATGTACTGGAGCTAACCAAGTGGGCACATGAACCCCTACAGAAACTGGAGCTAATTGCCCTGAAGTCTGATCTTTCTGGGGTCATGGATTACATCGACCTCTTGATCAAAACCGAACAAATAAAAGGGAGACCAGGTCATTTGCAGAGGATCAGATACCTTGAAGAGGCAAAAGCCAGAGATGAATTGACTGAGAAACTCAAGAAACGTCTCGATCCCTTCGAAGAACATATGAAGCATCTAGAAGAAAAAGGGTTTAATATGAGCCTCTTTGGGCCAGATCCAATCGAATATCAAGAAAAATGGCATTCTTAAGCGACTCTATGCTTGAGGAAGAAGATACGCTTTGATCCTTTTACAAATTGCAAAAATGAGTGGAGATTTATGAATTTAGCGAGTCTGGATGACGCGAGACCGATGTGACATGAAACATTTTCGCATGAATAGAATTATTTTTTTTAATTATGGGTTGCTGTTTTTTTCTCACTATAAACCAATGACGACTTATGTTATTCATGGATTAGAAAAAAGGCCATCCCAATATAATTTGTAATGGTAATTAAACCGTCAACATTTCGACAAGCTTTTATCCGAAGAGACCACTTAATTCCCTTTCTTCCCTCAGGTTCTATCTTATTATTATCCTATCCATCCTGTAAGTATCGAAAGCGTCAAGTGACGACTGGCCACCTTATTGGTGTCGTGACGGAATTCCGCCGATCGATTGGACACATTAGCGGCGCGGAATTCCTCTTCTTTTTCCGCGCATAATCAATCAAAATCAAAGAGAAATAAAACAACATGGAGGGTGCTTGTCAACATCTAATATATATAGACGATCGTGACTGACTGACTGACTGACTGACTGACGC